GGTTGGTCGGATAATTGAAAAGTCGGATAACCGAAAAGTATGAAAAAATCCATTATTACTGTAGTATATTATTATATTCCATGTAATTAGTATATTAGTATATCGCTATTAACCTACTTCGCGTTGAATTTTCATCGATGTTAAGCCTAACAAAAATTGTTTAAAATAATAATCGTCGCTATTGTATCGTTAAAAATTAGAAAATTAAGCCTCGTTTAAGTACTGGCTCCCTTTCATGGTCGAATGAGTGTTGCCAGCTAAAACACGTAAAAATAATATTAAAGTATTTTTGTATTTTTGTATACTGGCACAATGAAGTGACCTTCTTTATCAACACTTGGCAAGTTTTCAATCTTTATTCAGTTAGATTGAATAAAGATTGTCGGTTAATCGGGGGTCGGATAATCGAGGCTCTACTTTACAATGATAAAAAAGAAGTTTCTGATACTACTGTTTTATATAATATATAGCCCACATATATAATTGCAAGAACAACACGTGCAATTGCTCGAAAAGTGAAGAAAAATTCATTTCTAGAGTCTAGGTTATAGGGTTTTTGATTTTGAGAGAGAGAGAGAGCAATGTTTCTCCGGGAATTTTTATATTGCAAAAATATTAATGTGTTTTTTGCAAATGCACGTATAATTCTATAATGAAATTAGACAAAGAAGAAAGTAAATTATTAAACGCTTTTATTTTAACTGGCTTTGTGTCATATCTTCAAATTTTAAAACTTAAATTTAATCGGCTTCTAATTAGATAACTTTTTTAAAGTTCGATGACAATACATCTTAATGATTTTTTAGGGGTTGGCTCTTCCCCGAAACTGGAAAAACATAACCAAATGTGGAATTTCATCAGTAATTTCAATTGCATAATAACATTTTCTATTGATATTTGTGTATGTAAATGCATTGTAGTGATGTTCATGCTGGATGGTGAGGTTAGGACTATTCCCAACCTCACCATTCCTTCTCGAACTCTAAAAACATGACGAAAATATAATCTAATTAGCAATCATATTAGTAAATAATATTTCGCGTGCGTTTAATTATATTGTAGTGTTGTAATTTAGTTTCTGTCTTAATAACCTTCAAAAATTTTCGCGACGCATATACGATCCTCTCGTGGCACACTGGTTGAAAATCACACACACACACACACACAAAATAACAACAAGAAATATGTCTGTAACAATTTGAATCTTATTAACTTCTTCACATGACATGGAGTTACTTTTAGCGCTTCGCTCTTAAAATATCAGCACTGATCGGTGGTCAAACTATCTCAGACTTACATCATATTTTATTCTAAATCACATTTTCCTCTTCAATTTGAACCGAGATTTATCTATGAAAAATTCATACACTTAGAAATATAAATATATATATTAGGAACAGTACAATACATCCTATTTCAATCCCATTATTTGAAAATAAGTCAGAAAGTCAGAAAGTGAGTCAAAATATTAATATAAAATCAAAGTTAACTTTAATGTAAGTGAACAAAAATTTTCTTTTGTACTTACTCACTACATTTATTTTTGACACATTTCTTATAACTTAAAATACAAACATTTTCGGATTAAAATATTATCATCAATTTTTATACAATTTTAATATTATTGTCAGAATTGATGAAGACACTTCATAATATCAATACATAGAGCATATTTTATTGTATTTATACCTGTAACCGTTTGATACAAAATTAAAATCATTGTATTCAAATTCAGGTAGGAATACTTAATATTAGTTTGATTATTTAAATAAAACTCTCAAACTTTCGTTTGATTTCTATTTTGATGGATAAAATTTCCAGAAATATTCCGACATGTAAACTTTTCATGAAAGTTATTTCCGATGATTTATAATATGACCTAAATATGTGATTCAGACAGAAAACAATTTTCAAAATAATCTAATATTAGAAACGGAAGTTTTTCACTTTTTATTTCTGCATGGATTAATCTTCGTTTATTTAAATAACAATTACACTAAAAAAATATTAAAAATCGTATAAAAGAAAAATCTTATACGAGAAATATTTTTTAGTTATTAAATATTTAATTACTAATTTAAATTAAATTTGGAAATATATTTTTATACGTAAATTCTTTGGATATGTATAAGAGAACCAATTAAATGAGGAATCAGAGGACATCTTTGTCTTTCTTCACGGATCAGATTTTGTACATTTGTATTCGTGCATCCGTTTATAGTTTGTTCGATAAGGGAATATATTACGCAAAATACTTGATTATAGTCGAATAATCTACTAAAATGGTGCATCAGAATTTTAATAATCGAGATAAAGACATTATAAATGAATAGATAGAAATTTATTATTAAATTCCCTAAATTTACATTTCATTATTGCAAAAATAAAAAACGAAACCGATAATAGATCGAATTACATTAATTAGTGCAGAATGAAATTTACATACATATAAAGGAATGATCATTAAAAAATGCTATGCATGGCCAATTAGAATCAGTTTCATGTGTGATTAGTAGAATATAGATCGTGATCTCTAATCTGTTAATTATACAAGTCTATCATTTAATCCATCAAACCGGAATTGCGTTTGTTATTTCTCTCTGGTTTTGAAGATCGAGGATTTCAAAACATTTTGTTTTAAAAATTCGTCCTAATCTGTATATATATTAAATAATTTTTAAATTACTTTCGT